GGTCCACTTAAATCTGCATCGTTGTCCAAGCAATGAGGGGAATGATCAAAACTGGAGGACAGAAGTTAGGAGTAGGATGCCAATTTAGGAGAACTATGGGGAAAAACACTGACCCCATAGTTCTCCTTTAATAAAAATTAGTTTTTAGTGGTTTTATTTTTGCTAGCTTTCATTTCTGCATAAATTTACTTTGACTGTCTGCAATTAAGGTAAGGATTTAGCTAGATGTCTTTATATCTCATTAATGAGATTCGGGGGGCAGAACATAGATTTTAACCAAAGTATATTTAAAATCAAAACTTTAGTTTTTATTTTGAATATAGTAGGGAAGGATTAAAACCTCTGTCCATAATTGTTTGCTATCCGTGTCTCATCGGGGAGATGTCCCTTCACTTCCTGACGTGTAGGCTCATCAGGAAGTGAGAAGATATCTTTGGAATGTGAGGGAAAACCCATCTTAGATGGTTATCATGGGAACAAGTGTCCCCATTAAAAGATTTTCTCTCTATCCCTGTTCTGGTGGCAACTAACAATGTTGTATTTACTTTACTTAGATTTCCATGGACATCTAAGTGAATCTCTCCAATGGGGACACAGACATTAACATAGTGTCATAGTATGTAAGGTTAAAGACCAAGGCCCATCCAGTTCAACCGGTGTGTGTGTGTTCATCTTACTCTACCACTTCCCATATCCCTGTAGATTCTGCAAAAGAAGAAACTCATCCAGTAGTTTCTTGAATTTATCAAGGTTATCAGCATAATTTCTTCTTTTAATACACGCCTGTATCTTGTTAGCTTAACTGGCTGCTTCTTGGCATTGCTTACTATTGCCAAATCTGTGATCTATGAGCACCCCCAGAACATTTTTCTATGTCCGACTTCCCTAATGTGGCACCCCACAAATAGTAGTTTGCATACATGTTCTTTACTCCCATGTGCATAACCTTACATTTTTTAACATTAAAATCGCATTTGCCATCTTATAGCACATACCATTCAAAAAAAACATGACATGGGTTCTAAGATCTCACCACTCTATCCAAGAAAACAAGTTTTGCCTTTAGTTATACTTTCATTTTTGGAGTCACTCTTTTAAAAGTTTTGTTCCATTTACACGGAAACATTCCATCACTGACTGCAATGACAATCTTTATTTCAACAGAACTGGAAGTATACTATTGTCAGCGAAGCATGTTCAAACAACAAATATACTTCCGATTCATACTTTATCCAGTTTTTTTTGTTACTGTGTAAATATCTGGGAATTAAAGATTGTAGGAATCCACCTAGGTTAGATATTGCAGAAGTACACATCTTCACAACCAATTCAAAAATACTTTGTGTCAAATGTTTATTTGTTGCCCTGGTTTAACTAAAATTAGTCTGATCACACTTTCAAAGCATTCAGAACATTTATATATAGACATAAGAAAGCGATATAAATCTCCTAAAGAAAGGCAATAAGTTCTTGTCCATGTGTCCTGCATTAATGCCTAAAAGCTACATTTGGAATATTGATTTTGGATTTGCTTTACAACCAAGATGTGACTGTTGTATGTGGTTATTAAACTGAACCACCACTAAATACTGTAAAAAACACTTTGAAGGGTGTCTAGTAAGCATCTGGATAGCAAACCTAATTTAAGTAGGCAACCATGATTATCACAACCAAAAATAAAAAATGACCACCTACTTACGGTTAAGTTAGGTTAGCCATATATTCAAAAAAATCATTTGATTCCCCCATCCACACTACATCATGTGGATAGAAGAATGTGCACTACCAACTATTGGATTCAGACAGCCCCAGCAACCACAGCTGCCTGAATACCTGAACAGTGATCAAATAAGTGGTGGTGCCAACACAATTTCATCAGAATTTATGCTGCATATGGCTAGCTTAATTCTTTTGGGTTCATCAATACATCTGCAATCTTTGCCACATTCTAATGTGTAAATTAGGTCATTGCAAATTATTTTTCTAAACAACTTTTTTCTAGACAGAAAGAATTGGTGCTCCAGTCCACCGGTTCTTTAGAACAACAATTTAAGAAATTTCCTCTAGCTTTTGTCTAATATTTATGATTGAGTTATGAAGGAATTAATCAAACTAAGCATTGTATTACTTGTGTCACTTCTCTAGGTTATATCTAGGACTTTGCACAGCAACAAGAGAGACAATGGTGCTATATACATAATTTATTTTGCCTGGTAACATTTATGTGCTTGTTTAAAAGCCAACCAAATAAACACCCCCAAGAATACAGTGCATATAGCTTTAAAAACAAAGCACTTAAGATCAATCATGGAATAACAGACTCATTGGGTTGTGATATAAAGGCGTATACATAAAATAGCAAATGAATAGGAATCACCAGCACTCAGTAAAATATTTCAAATGATAAAGTCCATTCCATCAGACAGATCGTCATACAGGTTGCAATAATTATAACTGACGTTTCGGGGCCACGTAGGGACCCTTCATCAGGGCAACAATGTAATGTGTGTTATCATCAGGGCAACAATGTAATGTGTGTTACATTGTTGCCCTGATGAAGGGTCCCTATGTGGCCCCGAAACGTCGGTTATAATTATTGCAACCTGTATGATGATCTGTCTGATGAAATGGACTTTATCATTTGAAATCTTTTACCGAGTGCTGGTGATTCCTATTCAGTTGCTGTTTGATGTGCATTGCGCCATCCGTGAGTATCACTACAAGCACCATTATTGCGATTTTGGCTGGAGATGCTGCAAGGAGTGCAGGGGACATATTGGACTTTAGTATACATAAAATACATATTTTATGTTTTTTGTTTTCATAGTAACAGTAATTAGTGAAATTCCTTGTCACACATGATAGCAATATCAACAAAAATGGTATTTAAAATGGGTAATTCTTTGGCATTTAAGAACAAACCAATGGTTTACTCACCAAAATAGCTACATTTTGATCGTTCGAATTCTGACTGCTTTCTGGGGGGGGGAGGAAAGATTATTTTCCACCTGTGTGGCAATAGTGGCAGCAGGTGCTCAGATGGGGTGTTTTTACTTCCCCTGAGCCAAAACAAGAAGTTGAGAGGTTGACCAAGATGGTATAAAAATATAAATATACACACAGTTTCTGTTTATATTCCATGAGAACACATTTACGCTAAAGTGGTGTACATTTCAGAACTTGCCCTTTTTTCTTATCTTTTATTTATTACATTCTTTGCCTGAGTATTTTTATTTCCCGACAGGTCACATAGTACATTTTCAAATTTGATGTGTAATGCTTCGCAAGAGAACTCCCAATCAATTAATCATGAAAGGCTTCTCATGCCTGCTTAGTGGGTTGTAAAGTTGCTCCTTCAGCTTCCATGTTGTGGACACGGTAGTAAATTCCAGAGTTCATTTATGGACACAGGCACACCATTCCTCCCACTGCCCTACCTTGTTCGCTTCTTAAAAATGCTTAAGTCCGCCTTTTCTAGGACATATAAGAGGGCCATCATGCAATAGAAGACACTAATGTACCCAATAACGTTTTATTAACGTTTTTTACAAAGACTAAAATAAATTGCAATTGATAAATGTTTATGATGCTTGGTCAAACCCTTACCACAATAAGAATACATTTGCAGACAACTTAAAACATAATTTAAAAAAAGGGCACACAACCAACAGTCAAGATTACCAGATAAAAGCATGCAAACCTTAAATAGAACAGTGATTAATAAACAATACTTTTTGTATAACAAAAACGTTACATAATATTTAGGCTTCCATCTGTCCAATTTTATTTGCAAACAACTGGGCATTTATGCATTGATCAATGAAATCATTTCAAAAACTGATCAAATCTAGTAATTATTGAATCAGGACCATTTTAGTATAAGTGAATTGAAGAAAAAAAAGCAATCAGGTTGGAAATTCCCATTGCTTTCATGCAAAATCACGTGGTGCATGGAGCAACTGAACCATTCTGAAACAGTCACTTTCAATTTACTTCTCCAAAAAAAACCAAAAACTTTTGATGCAAAGTGATTAGATTCACAGGTGAATCTATAGTTTGTATTACATCAACATTTGTTTTAGATATCTGATCAATTTAATACAGTAGGAAAGATGGCTGAATGAATAGGACATTGATGGATCTATTGCCAACATAAGACATTGGGAAAGCCAACAGCGATGGATATTTAGAACTCAAGGAGCTTTTGGTATATTTTAAACCTACAACCAATAAATAACTTAAAACAAAAATAACAATGCTAAAAGTTTTTAGAACAATGAAAGCTTAAACTGAATGAAGGTATTTTCTGGTGGTACCAGGGAAGGATGTAAGATTTTGGGTAACTATGAGTCATGTAAAATGATAAATACATATGTATCCTTTATTACATACAATTGCAGCTACTTCCCAAAATCAAACAATGCATTGTGTTGTGCTTTTGGCAGCTTTAACAATTAAATTAGCTCTTAAACCATTTAAGAATGTAGAAAGAAAACTTAGTGTTCGCCACCTGGAACATCTCATATGTTCCAATTATAATGTTAAATAAAGATAAGAACTGCGCTCACGTCACTGAATGACAACTATGTGAATGTTACTTGTTAAGAACTGCCATTAGAAGACTTTCCTTTGCCTTACTGGCGTAATGGATAAATAATGAGCAATGTTAGGGAAATCACTTAATGAAAATCACATACATAACATATATGTTCCTTGAACAGAAATATGACCTTTTGATTACTATATGCTATTTTTAGTGTGAATTAAGAACAAGTGAGGACAGCCAAACAGTGCAGTGGAAATGGAACACTGATGATAGTCTAGTGTGTGTTGAGGGGGGGTGTTATAACAGTGAAGTTTTGTGGTTTACTATAATAGTCTACGATTTTTAACATTTGCCCTGTCAGTAAGTATGTGGGTTATAAAAGAGAAATGGCACAGCTCCATAGAAATCACACACTTTGGCCACACATTTAGAGAGCATGTGCTGCTAAGCTCACCTTTTGTGCAGATTTTAAAGGACCTTTGTTTTTGCTCCCCTTAGGTCTTCCTCTGGGTCTCTTAGGAGAAGGCTCCCCAGTCGCTGGCTCCTAAATACAGAAATAAACTTGATATACTAGAAAGAATTTAACATGGGAAAACATCCTACACGGCTAATCTCAAGGTAGGAAAACCTTTTTTTTGCCATGATATACTAGAGTATTAAACCCTTGCAGGGAAACATATGTGACTAATGTACGAAATCCAACGATTTGCAGGAAAGGAAAACATTTACACACTGAGATTGGTAATAAAAATTGAAGTCGTGCCCTTTTGGGCTGTAACCAACGTCATACAGCGCATTACGATTTATACCCTTAAAAGAAACAAATCCAAAAAACAAAGAGCGTGACCCAACACAGCAATCATTACATGTTTAAAGAGCATTTATTCAGCGTAATCCAAAAGGGGAACTTTTCCAAACACACACATGTGCTCTCTCCAAAACACAGCACGATACTTCACCAAAGAACAAAAAACACAAGACACAACTGTGACGAGTGACGGGCACAGCGAATGACACCGGTTGGATTCTATCTAGGAGGAGGACGTTGTGAACTGCTGCTTTGTGACATCTACAGTTGAATAAAATGCAAAACAGTCCGACAACACTGATCCTTTTGTCAACAAGACCTTCTACTCCAGGACAAGACACCAAACAAAAACAAAAAATACTTTGCTGACCCTGCATCACGTGACTTGGTTACAACGTAGTATGTTAAGCACGGTCCATGCACTGCCTCGCCGGTAAATATTGACATCCCTTTGCTTTATTATAATAAGATTGTAATAAAAAGCTCCATGTAACCAGCAGTGGGTAAAGTTTGAGCTGCATTACAGCACCAGGGATAGCTGGATTGTGGATGAGAAGTGTATAAAGCTAGTTTTTTTTCCCCCTCCAAGCAAAACCACACATAGCCAAGCATCTAGGCACACAGAAGGCTCATGAATGAAAGCACATCATGCAGTCACACTCACAGCAATGATCCAGGCACAGGATTCCACCACAACACATTGATTTGTACAGATCAGCATGGCAATGAGCAGTTAAAGCAACAACATGCTTGCCGCAAGGAAGGGAATTCCCATTGTCTGGGACGTGCAAGGGATGCTTTGTGCAGAAAGGTTAAAGACAAGATGTGGTTTGCAACCCCCCCCCCCCAAAAAAAAGGGGAGACCCCCCTGCATGCACTGACTGCCGTAAGGTGGCAGCGTGTGCTCAGAGCCCATTGTGTGTGGCATGCTGCGGGTACTGACTTTTTGCGGTTTCCGGGGTCTCCCTCGTGCCCTCTTCGGTGACTCTGAGGGGGATGCAGGCTGCTCCGCGGAAGTGGACTGGCGGGCACTTTCCCTTGAGCTCATGGTGACACTGCTCACACCCCAGCGAACTGCTGCTGCTGCACCTTATCCACACGAGGAGCCGCCGCTGCCGCCGCGCCGGACGTCCTGCTGCTGCTGCCAAAGCTGAGTGAAGTGAAAGAGGAGGAGAGCGAGGGGATCTCCTCTAATGTAGTGACCCGACAAGGGGGCTTTCACAATAGACACATACACACACACTACTGCCGGCTCAGATCAATGACACTGGATGTGATGTGATTAGGACAGGTCACAGGAGGTAACTGGTGGTGACACAACCTCTCCTACATGGGGCTGCGCCTTCCCAGTTAGCACGTATAAGTATTGCTCTATGCCCACACGTGTGTGTGATTTGGGGGGTAAGGGAGGTCTTGTGTTTGTGTGAGTAGGGGCATGTGATAGAAGGCCGGCCCACGGATTAAAGTGGGATGGGTAGAAAAAAAAAAAACACCTTTACCCGTGGGTGGAAAAAATAGGAGGAGGCAGGGCGGAGGCAGCGGCTACAGGGCTGAAGCCCCGCCAGAGACAACACGGCGAGCGAGGACAGCGCTGTGTGCGGGGCAGACGGGGGGACACGCTCACGTGGCTGCAAGAGTTAAAGTGCGGTGGCCTCGCTCCAACATGGTTTAAAGGGACGGCCCGGGGATTCCCTGCACGGACAAAGGGGAGCGCTAGTCTCAGCACTCTCTCCTGGCTGCTCCGGGACACGGTCTGCTCGGAGCTCCACTCCAGGATAACACTATATCGGCTAGACCAATCCTTCCCAACCGGGGAGCCTCCACACGGCGGCATGACTTTACAGGCAGGGCGCCTGCAAAGTCTTGCATGCAGACTTCTGATTTGTTGCGGGGGTTCTCATGTAGATGAGGGGAATCTCAAGAGAGAGGGACTCTGATATGAAACCGGGGTTGTGATGTAGATGATGGGAC